TACATCTTTTGATAGCCGGGCACCATCAGCTTTCTTCACCACATTTGCTTATGCACCCATTGTCCTCAGATCGTGGATGTCAATGATCTCTGTCTGACAGTAAGGCCGTTTGAGACCCTGGCCTGTGGCTAGTGGGGGGTCGCCTAGTGCTTAATCTAACTAGTTCCTCTGCAGATGAGTTTGGGGGAGACTGTAACTCTTTATGGGAGAAGAAAGCCTCCTCTTTCTCCTGCAGGAGGACCGGTGGTTTCAAACTGCAGACCTTGCAGTTAGCAGCCTGACTCATAATCCACTGCGCCAGCAGGACTCTAATAGGGTTGGGTGCCGTTTTCTGTGTATCAGTCAGGGAAGATAGATTCCTGGGTGGGGACAGGGGGACGGGGAGGGGGTGGGGAGATAGCAGCTTGCACTCAGCTGGCAACCGGAAGATGGGTGGTTGAGACCCACCTGGTCCCCTGGAAGGAAGTCCTGACAATCTACTCCTACCCCGAGACCCAAGGGGAAAACCAAACACCAAACCACACAAACTCACTACCACTGAGTCCATTCTGGCTCATAGTGACCCTACAGGACAGGCGGGACTGCCCCTGTGGGCTTCCAAGACTGACTCTTGACTGAAGTAGAAAGCCTTGTCTTTCTCCCGTGGTGGAGCGGCTGTGGTTCGCACTCCTGACCTTGCTGTTCAACAGCCCGACACGTAACAGGCTTCGGAGCCAGGCTACAAAGGGCCCGAGCACCCTGTGGGGAGTTCCCCTGTGGGACACACGGAGTCGCCTTGACAGGCAACTTTTTTTTTGTGGGGGGGGTCGGAGAAGCACTCCCTGAGGAGGTGACCATTGGGCAGAGACCTGAAGGGAGCCAGGGGGGTGGGGGTGGGGGCAGGAGCCTTGGAGACTTTAGTGGGGGAAAATATTGCAGGTGCAAAGGCCCTGGGGCTGGAATGCACCTGGGCCTTTGTTTCTGGAACATAGAGGTGGCCAGTGTGGCTGCATGCTAGGGGAGCTGAGGGCAAGGGAGGAGGTCACAATGAGGACTTGGGCTTTTGTTCTGGGCGCTGTGGGAGCCGGAGAAGGTTTGAGCAGAGGAGGGGCAGGGTCGGACACAAGCATTCACAGGCTTCTCTGGCCATCGGAGAAGACAGACAGCTACACTGGTCCTGGCAGGAGGTGACAGGGACTGGCCGAGCAGTTCTGAATTCATTGGGGGTGTGAAGAGCAGCACCCAAAGAGGGTCCCACAGTCTGACCCCTCTTGCCATCTCCCTGAGGCACAGGTGTGGTCTGTGTCGGACCACTGGGTCCCAGGTTACCTGCAATGGAGCCTGGCGCCCTGGGGCACTTAGTAACCGGCTGCTCTCTACAACGCCCTGTCCCCCACCTGTCTCGGTCTGTCTCCCTTTGGCTCCCTCTTCCGTCTTGACCTCCCCACCACCAGCTCAGCCTCCCCGCCCCTCTTCCCACCCCTTGCAGCTTCGAGGCCGCAGGGAATGGGCCGACACCATCGTCCGGCCGCAGCCCCCTGGACTCGCAGGCGAGCCCAGGCCTCGTGCTGCACGCCGGGGGGGCCACCGGCCAGCGGCGCGAGTCCTTCCTCTACCGCTCAGACAGTGACTACGACATGTCGCCCAAGACCATGTCCCGGAACTCGTCCGTCACCAGTGAAGCGTGAGCACCCCTTGCCCCTCTTCACCCACCAGTGCCCCAAGCCCTGCCCCCGGCCGGCTGCCAGTCCTGGCAAAGACTGTGGGTGCCCAGCCCCTCCCCAACAGCCTGCCCTCCGCAGTGAGAGGTCAGCAGCCCCCACGGAGCTGCTTTGTAGCCTGTGCGCCCATCCATCTCTGTGCCTAACACCCACCCTGGAACCTCCGTCTGGCCCACCACCTATTGATATCCCTGTGGTTCGGGCCCTGTGAGCCTAGTCCCTACCTACTGGCTGCTCTGGCCCCAGAGATGAGGACACACTCCCTGCTCACAACTGCCGGGTGTGAATTTCTCCCGCACCCCACTCAACCAACCCCCCTCCTTATCCTGCCTTTTCCAAGGCAGCCCCACCCCGCTTGATCAACCCTATGCCCACCTACTGGGTACTCTCCGTCCTGCCCCATAGAGATGACCTCCGGGCCCCCAGTGCCCTTCCCCACCCACTGCACCCCCAAGCCCAGGTTCACTCTGCTTTATCTCTGCCCAGCACCTCCTATTGCCATTCCTTCAGGCCCCTCCTGAGTCCTGGTGAGGTCCCCAATCCCTGCCCTGCCCCCCAACCACCCCTCTCAGGCATCCACCACACAAAGTCGTTCCTCTGACTCCCCGGGCCCCGGGGGTCCCTGCTGTGGGCAGCCCTGACTATCTGCTCTTGGTTGCAGGCATGCCGAAGATCTCATCGTGACCCCGTTTGCCCAGGTGAGACCCTTCCCCAGCTCTCCCCTGCCTGGGGTGGGGGAAGGGGATGCTGGGGCGGAAGGGGGGTGGCGGCTGCTCCCTCACCTCATTGCATCTTCGCCTCAGGTGCTGGCCAGTCTCCGGAGCGTCCGCAGCAACTTCTCCCTCCTGACCAATGTGCCCATTCCCAGCCACAAGTAAGTGGAGGCTGGAGCCCGGCCCTGGTGCTGTGCAGTCTCGCTGAGCCTCTGTTCAGGCCTCCCTCGGAGTCAGGGGCCCACGGTGGCTCAGAACTTAGGAGCTGAAAGCTTCTATAAAGAGCGAGCCAGGGGATGTCAGGGACAGTGTGTGCGATGTGTATGTGTGTGTGAGAGAGAAACAGGCCATGCCTGGCCCTGTTGCCCGTTTGCCCCACATGGGCCTCTGTCCCCCACTCTGTAAAACGGAAATTTCAGTAGCTTCGGAGAGAGCTGCTCGGAGGACGCACAGAGACAAGGTCTAGAAAGGGCTAGAATATTACCCAAGCCACTGTCTTGGGGTCGATTCCGGTGTTGGGTGAGCCTGCAGAGCGCTCCCTGGAAGTTCCGAGACCGCTCACCACGGAGACAGTGGCAGAGACAGGGCCCTGGTGGGTTTGAGTGGCTGGCCTGTGGCTCGAGCCCCACGCACGTGACCCACTCCACCCCCTGGCTCCCTAGCACATTGCCGGCGTGTGGCGAGCCCACTGGGCCCCCTGGTGTGGCGTAGTGGGTTATGAGTTTCCTGGCTAACCGCAAGGTGAGCAGTTTGAAACCACCGGCCGCTCTGCAGAGACAGAGGAGGCTCGCATCGCTCTGAGTGGGAATGGGCTCAGTAGCAGGGAGTTGGGTTTCTGGGGTTGCGTGAACCCTCTGCTCGTGATCCCCCAGGGCTCCCTAAGGTTTCTGACCCTGCCTGTCTCAACGGGAGCAGATGGTCTTATCTTTCCCCCACGCTGCCACTGGTGGCCTTGAACCGCCGACCTTGTGGTTAGCAGCCCAATGCTTGTCCACAGCTGGAGTCAGTGCCCCATACAGTAACCCAGCACGCCATCAGAGCTCCTCAATAAATAAGGAATCTGATGTGGAAGCCAGGGGCAGCAGTGTCTGACCTCTGGGCTGGGGTGGGTGGGGGACAGAGCAATCTCAGAAGGTTCCAGTAGCCAGGGGGTGTCAATCCGGGGTACAGAAACTTTGGGGTCACAGGATCTGGCCCAACTGGTCAGCCGTGTGGCCTTGGAGGGGGTGGGGGCGCATGGTTTCACCTCCCTGAGCCTCAGTTTCCTCACCTGTCAGATGGGTCCTGAGCTCAGGGAGGGGCTGCCCGTTTGTGTGCTTACTCCACAGGGGCACTGCTCCTGGGTTGTCAGGGTGGGGCTGTTGGGGGTCCTCAGCTGACACCGGGGCCCATTTCTCTGCAGGCGGTCACCGCTGGGCGGCCCACCCCCTGTCTGCAAGGCCACTCTGTCAGGTAGCTAAACCAAGCCTCCTCCGGGCCCTTCTTGCGATCCCAATGCGGGAGGACCTTGCGCTGTGTGCCTACTGGACCTCCTCCTCCCCCGGCACTTCCCTCCCCTGAGATCCCCATCCCCGTGGGCCAGGGCCCCTGAGGACCTGGAGCCACAGCCTGCCGCCCTTCCCCAGAGGAGACCTGTCAGCAGTTGGCTCGGGAAACGTTGGAGGAGTTGGACTGGTGCCTGGAGCAGCTGGAGACCATGCAGACCCACCGCTCTGTCAGCGAGATGGCCTCTCATAAGGTGGGCCGGCCGGGGGCGGGGCCTGGAGGGGCAGGGCTTCAGGACATCTGCCCCCCACACCCCACCCAACCCAACGCATTGCCTTCCACGTCAATTCTGCTTTTTTTTTTTTTTTTTAAGTTAGTTCAAGGACTGTTTGTTGGCCTTTAGGAGTGTTTTCCAGTCCAGTCTGTTGGGGCACCAAGCCCTGACCCCAAGGTCTATTTTTGGTATTCCCTGGGGACTTCGTTGCTCTGTTCCCCTTGCTGTGCTGTTGCACGCCCTTAGTGTTTTGCCTCGGTGTGGTGGGATCAGATCAGGTGGAATTCCCACACTGTGTCTCCAGTGTTTTCCCCTGTAGAGCTATGGGTCAGTGAGGGATGTTGTGTCTCATAGTGGGGCCGGCCATGTGGTCTTCTCTGTGGATTGGCTACTCTGAGCGGGAATATCATCCGCAAGGCATGGTGGGCCAGGATGTGCTCCACTCTCTCTTCCTCCCCCTTCAATTGCTCCCGTGTGCTCTGATCAGACATGTTCCTCTCCCAGAGCTGCAGATTCAGTGCTGTCCTCTGAAATAAAGTCTTCTGGGGGGAGGATCAGGTGTCCACGTAGTTGGGATTGGGGCCGGCCCCTCAGACCTCTCCACTGGTTCCCTACTCCATGCCGGCATGTTGCATTCACATCTTGGAGCACTGGGTTGAATTCTGGTCCCTCTTTCAATTCTGATTCTTAAGAACCTCAGTGCCCTCGGGTCAGTGTGGATGCATATCAGCCCTATGGGGCTGCCCCTGTGGGTTTCTGAGACTATCACTCTTTACCGGAGTAGAAAGCCCCATCTTTCTCCCAATTCTGACTCAGTGAGCACCCAGCCTCGTCTTTTCTGGAGAAGCAGCTGGCGGGTTTGAACTCCTGACGTTGCAGCTTGCAGCCCAACACCTAACCCACAGTGCCACCAAGGCTCCTTGTAGCTTCTGCAGATACTGACTTCTCTTCCCAAGTCCAGAAGTGTGCTGTGTGTGTTTAGACACCTCAAACATGGGACCTGTACTGGGGTGTCTGTCCTTGGAGCCCATCATCAGTGGGGTCCTGTGCTGGTGGAGACAGCAGGGGTGTACCTGTGACTGTGGTCTTTGACGCTGTCAGCTGTCAGCCAGCCTTTGCAGCCCTGAGGTGTGGGCCGAGGGCCCCGGAGAGGTAGCACGTCAGGTGTGCCCTTGGATTGTGTGGGGTTATGAGTTGGCCCAGGTATGAATTTTAGTGTGGGTCTACCTCTGTGACCATGTGGGTCTTTGCCGGGCTGCGAGAGAGGGCGTGAGGTGTTCCCCGGACACCTGTGCAGACTGCGCATGGCACAATTCCAGGGGCACCACTCACTCAGAGCAGGCAGGGCGGATGAGGCTTCTTGGACTTGTAGTGGCAGACCTTGTGGGTGGCCTATCAGGAAATTGGGGTGCCTGTGTTGGGGGTGCATATGTCTATGGATGGAGGGGGGATTTGTCTTTGGGCTCTGTTCACATGCAGGTGGAGACTTAGGGCATGTGAGCCTGAGGGCGATTATGTGCCCCTAGGTGTGACTGCACTTCTGGGCGTGGATCTGAGGGTGTGTTTGTGTGTGTGCGCTTGTGTGTCTTGTCAGAGCAAAGGACCCCTGGTGGTGAGCAGGCTACACACTGACTAAGCTGCTAAGTGCTAGGTCAGCGGTTCAAACCCGCCAGCTGCACTGAGGGAGAAAGAGGAGGCTGTCTAGTCCCGTAGGGATGTAGGTCTTGAAAACCCAAGGGAAGGACACTTCTTCTCTGTGGGTTTTTGGTGTCTTTTGAGTTTGCGACCAAGGGCCCATGAGCTTCTCTGAGACTGTCTGGGGGCCGGGTGTCTGTCTGGTGTCCAGTGTCTGGCTGTTTGCCCCTAGGCTTGCTTCTCCACACATCTCTGTCTTGGGAGGGGTGTGTCCGAAGGCGTTGTGTCTCTGCTTTCAAGTGTGACTGTGAACATGTTGGGTTGATGACTGTGTGTATGTGTGTGTGTTAAGTATCCGAGTGTGTGCCTGTTTTCACAGAAGCCAAGTCTGTGTGTGTGTCTTTGAGCCTTTGGGGGTGAGGGGAGCCGGGGGGCGGTGTCTGGGTGTGTGTCCGTGGAAAGGGCTTGTCTGTGCCCCCCACCCACCTCCCATCGGCCCACCTGACTCCTGGCCACAGCCATGGGCTCTGATGCCCCTTTAATGCCCCCCCCTCCCAGCACCACCTGACACTGCATGCAGCCTGCCAGTACTGCAGTGAGCACGCACACACACAGACGCACACACACAGACGCACACACGGAGCCCTGGGCCTCTGCAGCCTCCCTCCCGGGACCCCTGCCTCCCCCCCCACACACATGGGCAAGGACCCCCCGCTGCCTCCAGCTGCTGCTGGGGGGGGGCCCACGAGGGCCAGGGACCGGCAGACCATGTAACCGGAGCTGCCACTGGGAGCGCGGAGGGGAAGGGAGCCCCCAGCTCTGCTGGGCTGGCCCAGGCCCCTCCGCGGCTCCCTGTCCACTGCCCACCTGCCCAGCACACCGCTCCCCCCTCCCTCCGGGCGCTAGCCCCGGGATTCCCCAAGGCCAGTCTCTGCGTGTGCGGCAGCCCCAAGCAGGGCTAAGGCTCCAACATGCCCTTGGTCGATTTCTTCTGCGAGACCTGCTCCAAGCCCTGGCTGGTGGGCTGGTGGGACCAGGTAGGGGACTGCAGGGGGTGGGAGGGAGGGCAGAGAGAGACGCTCCCAGGCCCTCCTGCCTGGGCCTTGCCAGCTCCCATCTGGGCTTGTGTGTGCAGATGTGCACGTGTGTGGCCTGGCAATGAAGCCTGGTGACGGGTCTGTGTGTGGTCCAGGGCTGGGCATTGCTGGTGGTGGCCAGCAGGCGGCTTGGGGGTGTGTGGCCGCCCTGCTGGGGGTGGGGTGGGTGGATGTGTGGATCCCTGGCTGGTGTGACTGGGTCAGCCCCAGATGCATGGTCTGCAGTGACCTGTGGCCTGGGTCTGGTGTGGCCTGGGCCGGGACTGGGACCAGGAGGCTGTGCTGGGCCATCTGTATGCCCACAGCTGCGTGGTTTTACTGGGGCATGTGACCCCAAGTGTCAGTGAGTGCCTGGGTTTGTGCACCTTGGTGGGTGTGAGCGCCTGTGGCTGTGTGGGGCTATGTGTCTGCCTGCCTGTCTGTCCAGGGTCTCCAGGCGGCACTGTGAGCAGTGAACACCCTATCTTTCTGGGGGGCAGCCTTCCTGCCGAATACCTCACCTGCTTGCAAGAGAGCAGTGTCCTCCTGCTTTGGGGGTACTTCGATCGATGGAGCTTGGAGGACAGGGAACCAATGCCCTTTCTCCTCTCGGCACAATGTCACGGCAGAGACTTGTGTGGCATGTCACTGGGGGCGGGCCAGCAGTGGCCCCCATGCCAGGAGTGGGGTCTTTGCATCAGTTCACCTCCCTGAAGTTGGGGGAGAGGGAGCCAGAGTGGGGACCCCCCCCCCCGACTGACCAACGTCGCATTTCCTCAGCACACTATTCAAACCTGCTCAGCCCAGACCTCTCACCAGAGCTCAGACACTACACTCCTCTCCACAGGAAGGTGGGGGGTGGGGGCCAGCCAGGACCCCCAGGGATTAGGGTGCATGTCTGGGGAGCCCTGGGCCAGGGGTAGCTCTGGGAAAGCAAGGGTTAAGGGGCCCTGGCCTTCCATCCTCCCTCCTGGCTCCCCCACCCCTCCCCAACTCAGCAGCTGGTTGGAAGGGGAGTTGCTAAGGAGACTCCCATCACCATGGTGATGATGTTCTCCCGATACCCATTGGCTTCTTGGTAGCCAGGCGTCCCTCCTTTCCACAGGTGCCCCTCTGGCTCCTCCTTGTAGGTGGAGGAGCCCTTCTTCCCTCAGGCATGGAGAGGGGGTGGTTTGCTGGAATCCCGACTCCCCAAGCCTGGGAAACCCCATCCAGAGCTGGGGAGAAGAGGATGGACCGGCCCCTCCCCTCTGGCTGCCTGGGGATGGTGTGTTCTGAGCTGTGCAAAGGAATCAGAGGAGTTCCTGAGGTCCTCAGGAAGGAATGTCCTGGGAGAGAGGGCTGGTCCCCTTCACATACCCCGCCCACCCCAACCCCCTCCTCATCCCCTCCCTCCTTGTTTCTTCACTGCAGTTCAAGAGGATGCTAAACCGAGAGCTTACGCACCTGTCTGAAATGAGTAGGTCAGGAAACCAGGTCTCTGAGTACATCTCTACCACGTTCCTGGGTGAGTGCTGGGCCTCAGGTGAGGGGCACACGGGGGGCACATGGCGAGCCAGAGAGGGCTGCCCCAGAGCCGGCACCCTTCCACATAGATTTACCCAGGAGCCCCAACTGGGAACTCCCCAAAGGTCAAAGTCACCAAGCGAGAGAGCTCTCAAACTCAGTGGGACCTTTACATAGAAAACCACGCCCAAGTGGAAAGGCCCGTCCAGCCTCTGTAGGACCCCGAACTAAGCAGAACTCTTTACATCACCGCCCACCAAACCCATTGCCATCAGGTGCTCCCCATTTGTATGACCCTACCGAGGGTTTCCTGTAGAGGGTTTCCATCTATACAGGAGCAGAGAGCCTCACTTTTGTCCCACAGAGCAGCACGTGGATTCGAACAGCTGACCTGTGGTTAGCAGACCATTGCTTATCCTGAGGTGCCACTGGGGCGCGTTTTAAGACCCTAAGGGACTCTTGAGCTCTCGTGGCATAATGGGTTATGCTTTGGGGTTTTAACTGCAAAGTCAGTAGTTTGAACCCACCGGTCCCTCTGCACCAGAAAGATGAGGCTTTGTACTCCCGTAGAGTTACCACGTCGGAAACCCACAGGGACAGTTCTACCCTGTCCTGTAGGGTAACTGAGAGTCAGAGCCGACTCTATGTCAGGGAGAGAGAGAAGGCACTGCGCACCTCAACCAAGACCCCTCAACTCAAAAAGTCCCCCAAACTCAGTTCTCGCTGGCCTTGAGTCGATGCCGACTCATAGCGACCCTATCGGACAGGGTGGAACTGCCCCCGTGGGTTTCCAAGACGGGTAACTGGTTACAAGGGTAGAAAATCCCTCAATGCCGTAGAGAGGCTGGTGGTTTTGACCTGCGGATCTTGCGGGTTAGCCAATGGGAAACCCCCTAGGACCCCAAAGTCAATCCCTTCTCCAAACTTCAGTTGCGGCCCTCAAGTTGCGAAACCCTCTAAGTTCAAAAAGGATGCCCAACCTCCGTAAGGAAGGTTCTCAAACTTCAACACAAAAACCGCTCACTGCCCTGGGGTTGATTGCAACCCATAGCGGCCCTATTGGACCCTAGTGAGTTTCTGAGGCTGTGCATTTGTACGGGACAAGAAAGCTTCATCTTTCTCCTCTGGAGCCGCGGCAAGGTTCAGACTGTTGACCTAGGGATTAGCAGCCTGATGGCTAATAAACGATGCCACCTGGGCTCTTAAGAGACTACAAAGCACCCCCGTGCACACATCACTAGAAGAAAGAAAAAAGCCCTCCAGGAGATGGATAGACACAGTGGCTGCAACAGTTGGCGAAGCAGGGGAACAATTGTGAGAATGGTCACTGTAGGCCCAAACCGATCCGATGGCCCCTAACAGTAACAAGTTCAGTCCCTGAAAAGAACTAAGCCCGGTGCTGCCGCGTCATCGCCAGCTCACAGAGACCAAAAGGACAGAGGGAGTTCTACCGTCCCCAAGAGCTTCCCAGATGGCGATCAGTACAGAAGCAAGCTGGCTGGTGGCTTTGAACTGCTGACCTTCCACTGAGTAGGCAGGTGCCTAAGCTGCTGTGCCACCAGGGCTCCTGGCTCCAAGTTAGAAGCCTCCTCACCCCAGCCTACAAACTCAAGAGTTCCCAAACTAGGGGTGATACCCCCAATTCAGAGAATCTGACATTCCTAATGCCCTAACTTAGGATGAGACTGTAGCTCTTCAGGGGAGTAGAAAGTCAGGGGTTTCCCACTGCTGACCCTGAGGTTAGCTTAGCAGCCCAACGTGTCACCACTACTATGCCACCAGGGCCCTTTGCGCATAGAGTCAGCTGCCCCAAATTCATGGGGACCCCTGAGTGCAAGGGGACCTCAAAGTCACCTCACGTCTGTCCCTAAGCTGAGGAGACTGAGCTCATCACCGGGGATCCAAGCCCTGTATCAACTTCGAGGTCGTTCCAAGTGATTCCCGATTCAGCTGCCCTGTAGGGGCAGAGCAGAACTGACCCTGGCTGGTGGACTTGAACAGTCGACCTTTGGGTTAGCAGCAGAGCACTTAACCACTGTGCTACCAGAGCTCAGGCTGAGGAGATTCACCGCCCAAGTTCTAGAGGAGGGTTCAGCGTTTCAGGGCCCTCCCCCCATGAGGGTGTGGTTGTCCAGAATTCTGAGGGTCCAGCCAATCGGAGAAGGACATGCAAATGTCCTCCCTTAAGCCACTGCCATTGACTGGCCACCACAGGTCACAATGGGTGGCCCTGGCTGGGCGCTGGAGGCTCTGGAAAGCTCAAGAAAGGTGCTGCCGGGGCTGGCCCCCAGGCAGGCTGTGCCAGGAGCCCAGGGGGGGGGGGCCATGGAGCCTGAGACCACCCCTCCCCTGCCCCTCCATAGCTCACTGCCACCCTCCACCTCTGGGAGCACTCTCCCAGGCCGAGAGGGTCTTCGGGGCATCCGGAGCAAGCCTCGGCAATCCCTGATCACCCCACCCCGCTTTCTGACCACCCACACCACCCCCCTTCCAAGCCTGTCCATCGGACAGGGGTCTCCCCAGGGCACCGGGCTGGCCTCTGAACCCACCACCTCCCAGAAGAACATATACCCAGCCTTTGGCTTCCATCTGAGTAGCCAGCGGAAGAGGTCTGCCCTAGTCGGTGAGGCAGCCCCTCCACCCCCACCTCTGGTCATGGTGGACACGGAGGACCAGGGGAGCGCCCC